TTCCATATCTGTAAAATGGAGATAATGAAACCTACGGGAAAGGGTTGCTGTGGGGATTCGAGATCACACGTACACACAGAATCCAGCACAGAGGCTCTGAGCAGTAAGTGCTCAATAAATGTTAGTTTATTTCTCAGGGGGTTGTTGGGAAGGTTAAATAAGTTCATAAATATAACTGAGCTCACATAGTAAGAAATTACTGTTCCACCCTTCCCACTTGAGCATTGTCTCCACTGTAGTGAATATTGGCAGTTGTTTTCTTTATCTGTGTAGTCATCCAAACTGGACAATTCAATCAAGTCTCCACTTGGAGCCTTGTATCTGATGATCTCATTGTTGTGGAGATCTGAGAGATGAAAATATATATTGGAGCCACGACAGGACGGTTTTGCAACAGCAGCCAAAAGCCCTTAAAACGTTCTGTCCGTTGATCCAAAACTCCTACTCATAGGAATTCACCTTTAGGAAATAATCAGAATTATAAATAAAGATTTATGACAAGATGTTTAGTCAACTGTGATGCATGATCATAATAAAAATAGAAATAATCTAAATACATGACAACAGGAGAATGGTTGAATAAATAACAACCTCTCTGAATAGCACACAGCTGTTTAAGTTGAACTTTGGAGAAGATTTAATGACATGGGGAAAATAATCACATTTCAATGTTAAATTTAAAAAGTAGGATCAAAACCTGTGTTTACAGTGAACACAATTTTACAAAATGTGAAAGTACCAGATGAACCAGTGAAGAAACTGACCCCTAAGTTACCAAATGCATAAGAAAAAAATACAAAATATTGAATAAAAGTATCCATTTACACTGCCCTTTTAAACATCTTCCAGTTCTGATCAATTAAAATCATATACTCGGTGAAGATGAACTATGGATTTGTATGATGAGAAACAAAAACGAGAAGAATGACTAGAGAAAACACTGTTAACATTGTTACCTGTAGGTAGTGGGATTAAGGTAATTTCCTCCTTCTTTGTGCTTTTCCATATTTTCTAAATTTTCTTCAATGAACATATTTTATAATGAGGAAAACAGATTTATATTAAAACAGAGGGGAGATTATCAAGTCCCTATTTCTCTTTGCCTATGTGTTAGTAATTTTCTCAGCACAATTCTTTCCAGATATCCTTTACCACCAAGGGGCCCCCTGTCCATATGATACAAATGGAGTGTCTATAACACACTAAGGAGGGAGCATACTCTCTTCATGTCACTCACTGCGATTCCTTCCAGTTCACTCTGCACAGTTTAGTGATATGCAACTTATATGGATCTACAATCCCTGCCTACCCACCCCCAACATAATAAATGTGACATAATAAGTGTGACTTCACATAATAAATGTGACTTCCATACTAAATGCTGCTTTCTTGATAGAGGCCCAGATAGCCCCCAAGGAAGCAAAACACCAGAGGGATTCACCATGAACAAAGTGGAGAGTAGCAGAGAGCATCTGATCACAAGCCCACACTCTGTTTTGAGATGGCTGGGCGGTTAGAGTGGGGTACGGATGGTAGTGATAGGGAAACTAATAAAAAGGGGAAGGGAGAATTAGGCAAGGAACTTGCTCCAGGCAAAGGTAGAGAGTTCAGAGATACAATGTTCTTACGGGGTAATAATAATAAACACAATTATGTTAATACAAAGAGCCATCAAAACAATAAACACATGTGAGTTGCCAACAGTGTGCTTGGTGCTGCGGCAGAATTAAGCCTTCTCAGTTAGGCTGTGATCTGCATTCTGTCTGAACTCTGTGGGAAAGATGAGCAGCCCCACGAGCAGCCTGGGATGGAGGGAAGTACAGGCCATGGGGTCTTTCTCCTGGCTAAATAATGTTGGTAAGGACTTCAACCTTCTTTGTTTTCTGTTGTGCTCTGACTGGTTGACTCAGGGTTCAGGGGACACCCAAAGGCCAGAATGGAGGGAATCAAGAGTCCTAGGAGAAAGTCTTTGGAAGAAGACAATGGGAAGGGGTAAGAGACATCTTTGAGATGTTGATCAATGAATAGTATATAAAAGAATATAGAAGAATCAATATGAGAGTTTCATGCATAGTTTCCTCATTGGTATCCCACATTATCAGTGAGAGTGGTACTTGGAGTCATCTTTGAAAAACAGACAGCTCAATACTCTGCTGGGGGCTCTGGGGAGAGGGAGTGTTTTCACTGCAGTGGAAGGCTGGCTGGTCCATTCCCTTGGGAAATTGAGAGTTCTGTACCCAGAATGGGCCCCAGGCCTGTACTTGTGAGTTGTGCCCTAGAGGAGGACGGACGGTAAGAAGGTGGAAGCTGATATGGGCATTGAGTGGAGAGAAAAATAGGCCTTGGAGAATGTTAGGGGGAGAATGTTGGAGATTAAGAGAAGGAAAGTGGGGAGGGAGGGAACTGCAGAAGAAAGGAGTGGAAAGAATACAAGTGCATAGTTCAAGGAAGGAGTATATAGTCTTTTTCACCTTGTTGAAAATGGATCATCCCCTTTATCCACTTTCCCCTGGGGACAGACCCAAGAATCCAGGCACGTGGAGCTGAACGTTCCAGATACATCAATAAAGAAACTGGCTCATGCCTGGATTTCCAAAAGCATGAGAAAAAAATAGTACAACATATCGATTAAAGGATGTTTGTGTTGCCCTTTTAAACATCTTTGGATTCAGGTTCAATTAAAATCATATACTTGGTGTAAAGTATGCATTTTTACTGATGAGAAACTGAAGAAAATAAAGTTGAGGCCCAAAAAGGTTAGGTGACTTTCTCAGAGCCACATGGTAGCTTGCTGCCTCCCAGTGCGGCTCTCCTGCCATAAAGGAGGCAGCACCTTCCTTCTCCCCACTCCCCGCCTGCCTGTCCGCTTTCAGAACGGTTCCTTCCCACTTTGGCACAAACTCCAGCGAACGCCTGCCTTAACCCTTCTGGGTCTCAGTCTCCTCAGCCTCGGTATAAGGGTGTGGACTGGATGACCCTTCACTATGTTTCATCACTTACAGATTAAGAAGGGGACCCATTTGCCACCAACTCAGTACGTGCTTGACTTCTCAATACCGTGGAAAAGTAGTTTTTAAAACGTGGCCCTGGACACACAGCATCAGCACCACCTGAGAACTTACTAAAAATGCAAATTCTCCGCCCTACCTCAGACCCTACCGAAGCCGAAGCTCTGGGCGTGGAGCTCAGCAACCTGTGTTTTTTAATAAGCCTGCAGGGGGTTCTGATGCAGCTCAAGTTTGAGAACCGCTACTCTGAATGCTTTTCTGCCCAACACTAAAGGGAGGGCTTAACACGCACACGCGCACAAGGACGTAACTAACTTTTCTCTGTGGCCGCTACCCCTCCCTCGCCTCCCCACCCCCCATCCTTTTCCTCGCTCTTCCATCCTGGGATGATGAATGGAGGTCAGGGCAGGGCGCTGTCAACGGAGGAGGACGCGGCGAACCCTCCCTTCCCCGACCCACCGGGTGGGTCGGTCGCGGGGAGGTAGCACTGGGGCTGTGGTTTCCTTATAAATTTCTCGACAGCCGCTGCCCCATTTTGGGGGCGGGTAGGGGCGCGTTTAACAACAGAGTTTACTTTTAATGATTTATCCAATCATTTGTTTGCAGAATGAAGGAGACCATTAAGAAGGGGGGGCTGTCAGAAAAAGACTTGGGGAGAAGAGACTGGGCGAAAGGAGGGAAGGATAGCGTAGCAGAGCAAGGGTCTGAGGTGAAGCTAAAGAGAAATGGGGGTTCCTGGGAGCCCGTGGGTGTGGGAGAAAGGCGGAGGACTTTGCTTTTGGTACCGGAAAGAAAGTGAAGTTTGGGGAGAGCACGGGACTAAGGCGCAACAGAAAGAAAAATGAGTATTAGGAGAAAAACTGAGTTTGGGGGTACTGTTTTTTTTTTTTCCCAGCTTCCTTCCCAAGACTTTCTTTGCTCCACTTTGCTCCTCCCCCTCTTCCCCGCCTCCTCTTCCCCCCTCCCCCTCCTCCTCCTCGCGCGGTAATGGGAGGCTCCTAGGCAGAAGCAAAAGAAGGAATTGTTTGCGAGTTCAGTCATCCAAAAAAGCTTCTTCCGTATGGAGGGACCGGGTGCGCAGGGCGCGGCGTCCCCTGCCTTGTCCTCCCGCTGCTGCCGCCGCGGCCCCCGCTTCCTGCCGCAGGGACCCTGAGCCCCGGCCCGCCGGTGTCAGCCGCCGCGAGCGCACACGCACACTCACACTTACACACACAGGCGCACACACACTTACACTCACGCCCGCCGCAGCCGCACGCACCCGCACGCGCCCTCCCTCCCCGGCCCGCAGCTTCTCGGTCCGGGGCTCCTTTGTTGCTCCCGCGGCCGCCGCTCTCCCGTTTTGTGTGTCCCTGGGTGTCACTGTGCGGGTTGTGTGTCCGTGCGGCACCGGGCTGTGTGGCTCTCTCTGCGCCCACCGCGCCCCCGGGCCCCGGCTCACCCTTCCCAGGAGCCGGCTGCACCAGAGGTGAGTCACGTCGCTGAAGTTTGTTTTCTTTTCATAAAAAGTTGTGTTTATTTGTTGGTTTGGGGAGGGAGGGGGCGGGAGGCGGCCGCAGGCCGGGCGATACCGAGGAAGCGCCGGCGGGTGGCTGGTGGGGACGCGCCGGCGGCGGGAGCGGGTCCCAGCGCTCGGCCCGCGGGCTCCGGCGGGGGGCTGCGGCCGAGGCGGGCGGCGGGGTGCCGGGTGGCCGCCTCCAGGCCCGGGGCCGCCGCATCTCGTTCGGTGCGGGTGCGGTCTGGACGGTCGTTCCCGGAAGCTTCCCGGTGGAAGAAGGGCCCGGACAGCCTCCCAAACTTCCCCGGAGGTTGACACCGGTCTCCGGCTCCCAGCGCGGGGCTCTGGGGAGAAACCCACAAGGGGTCGGCAAATACACAGCACCACCGCACACCCATTTGGCCTCTTAGGGGGTGAGGGTTTACCGTCTCGGAGTTTAAAAATAATAATAATAAATAAATTTTAAAAATTAAAAAAAAAAAAACTAAACCTAAATGAGGGACCGAACGGACCGGGTGCAAAACAGTCCCAGAAAAGCATCCCCCGCTAGAGGGGTGGAAGGGCCGAGGCTGAAGTGAGAGTGTCCAGATGTCCTCCTGGGGTTGTTCTCTTGGGGGTTTTTGTTGGTGTAACTGTGAGAGGTTGGGAAATGATCCTTTGCAACAAGTGGGAAGGGGCTGTGGAGTAGGGCGAGGAACCCAGGAAGAATTTTCTGCTGGATTTTTGAAGGCTCTGCTTAACTTTCAGGGTGCCCAGTGTTAGTTTGCTCTTCCAGATGGTAGGAGGATTTTGAGGGCTGGGGGTGCAGGCAGACCTGGTGGAGTTTAAGGAGCCCTAGGGATTTGTTTGCTTAGTTTTGTTTTGGGTATGGGATTGCAGTGGCAGTGTTACTTGAAAGGTGGTTGTGTGCCTCCAGAGATGTGGCAGTAGAGCTAAGAATACCCAAACCACACACCAGCGATCCTAAACAGGCACTTTCTGGGCGTGGTGGGGTGTTCTGCCTCTCCCTCATCCCTTCTCAGCAAGTTCAAATGGGTTTGCATAAGTTTTTGACCCAGAGTTACCTCTTTGAATGGACTGAGTGAAAAGTATGTTGTGGTTTCAGGCCCTTGTGTCACCTCCAAGTGCCTTGTACCCAGCTCACATTGGTCACCTAGATCTTTGTTACCCAGAACCTTGCAAACACTGGCCATTGAATGAATGAAATTTTCAAAATTCTTGAATGCACAAACATTTCTGATTTATTCCACAATCGGGCCCTAAGCATGCAGCTTAGCCCTGTTATGGTTTTTCATCTCTTTGGTTACAGTCAATAAATCAATCTCTATTTTCTCAAGGGCAGCATGACAGTATTTAAACAGTCTCCTTGGACTAAGGTGGGGACGGATGCCCCCATACATCTGTCCAACCTGTTTTCTGAACATAAAGTAAATCTGAGGCAAGAGTTTGGCCATTTTGAGGTATGTAACAGGTTTCCCAGGAACGTTTCTGAGGTCTTATAATTGGTACTTTTTTATGGTTTCATAATTGAAATCTAGAAGGTTCCCATGGTAATCTTGAAGCACCTTGGGGTCAGTGGGACAGAGGCAGGGTGAAAACAGAAGTGAAGTTATGATTTTCCTGCAGGATGAGTTTTTGGAGCGAGTGTATGGAAAATGAAAGAAGTAAGAGTTGCCGCTTTGCTGACATTGCCTGCCCCCAACTATTGCTTAAAGTTTGGCCCTTCAGGAGGCCGGAGGCTGTCTACACCTATGAAATCTGAGGATTGAGATGTCAGACACTGTCTCATTCATCCTCTATCAAGAGATCTCAGAAGAGGAAAACTGCAAGAAACAGCTTCTCAGGAGAAATTGCCCAAGCCACAGCATTGGCTTTACTGAGGAGAGGAAGTTGATAGAGTCCAGGATAGTTGGTTCCTTGACCACAGTTGGGATGGGGTTGTGGTGGGATAGAGGGAACCCTGCTTAGCTGTTGATCGGTTGGCCAACTTGAATAAGAGGGTGATTTTTGTTCCTTTACATCCTCCAAATGAGTCCAGAGATTTTCCTTTCTTTGAAATGCTCTTTCAAATGTTTGGGCTCCTAGCTCTCTTCAGCAACTTATCTGTGGTTTCCATACCCTAAGAAGGAGTAGGAGATTTTACTCATGAGATAATTCAGTTGACTTCCCCAGGGATCCCCAGGGTATTATCAAGGATGGTGAGAAGTGAACCTGGTGGTCACAATATTCCATGGGACCCTAGGGTTCTGAGTTCAGATTTCGACAAAGTCACCAGTATGGTTAACGAATAAGGGTTTTCCTTTCTGTGTCTTTTAAACAAGCGGATAGAAGCTGAAGAAGACCCAAGTGCACCAGATAATTGCTTCCAGTACTTTCTGTCCTCTGAGTAAGAAAGTATTAACCTGGCACCAGAAGATATTGTACATTGGGAGTTTGCTTTCTTTCCTCCAAACTCCAAGCCTTCTTGCTATCTGTGAAAATAAGGAGGAGGGTGGATGGAAATTGGAGAAGGAGAGAAAAGAAAGTGATTTGTTACATTTTTTAAAGTGTATTTACTTTAACATATGGAACTTATTGTCATCTCCATACTTCAATTCAGCAAAAGTTTATAGCACATCAGACCCCAGACTGGGAGCTTTTTTGTCCCAAGAAAATAAGCTTTCTTAGTCAAAGGATGGTTCTCCAAACGACCTTCCCCTCCCAATTTTTATTTTTTGCACAAGCATCTACTACTAATAAAAAAAAATGTGTTTTAAAGTTACCCACATTGCCATACTATAACTGTTTTTGTTCATCCATGTGCATACATACTTTTCACATAGCTCCAATAAAAGTAAAGACTCTTGTAGTCAGACAGCCCTGAAGCAGCTCTACACTTTTGACCAAAGACTCATAGGGAGCAGGTATATCCAGCCACTTTGCTATTGCTGGGAACGGCCTAAGTCCTGAGAATGCTCCCACATGGAGCCTTTACATGTAATATTTTCATCATTTATGAGGCTGGATCAAATATTTGGGGCTGGACGGTGGGATGGAAGAGGGTGTTTATTTTTAATCTAGAAATCCATGTTTACAAGAAGCTTTCCTAAATAGGGCTTTTGCCTCCTTGGAGCCCTCAGGGTTGGAAATGGGTAGAGAAGGGGAGGTGGAATCGGGAAGTAAGACTTAGAGGATCCATCTCAAGTGGCACCACCATGCTTCTTCATGCCTTTGACAATTGCTGACACATGGCTGGACTCCCCACTGTCTACCCATCACCCCCCTACCCTCACCCCCCGCCAACACCCATCGTCCATCAGTCCCATAAACTCATCCCCCAGTCTAAGCTTACAATCTAAATTTCTTAGCCCTCTCACATGTGGCTCTGTCTCATCTCATAATAATATTACCTTGATAGAACCCTTCTGCTCCAGCTGGACCCATCTATTAGCCGACCCTTGATTTTGGAAGGGATTCACTCCTTCTGCTGCCTTACCAGTCCCAGCCCCTTCCCTGTTAACCCACCTTACTTCGTATGAGGGCGGCGGATAATGTGTTCTTAACAGATATTTGGTGAATATTGGTGAAAATGGACCACTGGATGCAAAGGTAATCGTTTTGTAAGAGCAACAGACTGTTTTCAATGTAATCATTGTCCTTCATCCATTCAGTTCATTTCTAGCAAGGGGCCAGGTAACTGGAGATTTAAGGAAGCCTGTGGTTTAGAAAAACTGCTTTTCCTCTGTTTTCTTATTTGTAAAATGGACTAATAAGGAATTACTCTGGTTTATAGCAATGTACCTTATAAAAAGCAAATACTTTCAAAGTGTTTATTTATTTTGTTTGAGACACTTTCTTTTTCCTCAGGCCCAGAACAAGCTTCCTGGAACCCGTGACCCATGAAGTCTTGTCAACATTCACACCGTCTGAGGGTATCAGCAATGAAGTAGAAAAAGCAGGTGAGGTTTTCTGCCCATAGTCTAATATCTCTAGCCTATTGGGTCAGTCATATTTTCATGTTTTATGTTTCTGCTTGAAGATAAGAGTGTTTCCCATCCTTCAGTATTGAAAGGGTCCAGTTTTGAATGGAATCTGAACTAAACAAGTTGGTTCTAGTTCAGCTCGGATACTCTTATAGTCAGAGCCTGTGGTGGCCTCTTTCCCCTGGCGTGACCACGTCACCCCCCTTTCCCTGTGGCAAATTCTGTTCAACATGTTGGTTATAAACCACTTACTGTGGATTTGGAGCCCAAGACTGCTGTGGAAAAGTCCTGCTTAGGTTTGGATGAGGAAAGTCCTGTGTTTATGTGTCTACCAATGGTATTACAGCAAATGCCTTCTCATCTGATGTACTGGGCTGTGTTTATCTCACAAAACCCAGAGGGATTCCGTGTCATACCATCTTCTGAAATAAAGTTAGGAAATAGTTTCTCTTTTCCTAATGGTGAATTTGGCCTTATCTTCAAAGAAGGCCTTTGATGTTTGGGACAGGGTTATTGGGCAGTAAGAGGAAATGGTAGGAGAAAGATCAGAGCCAATGATACACAGTCAACTTAACTTGGTTGCCAGAGAAAACGTTGAGGAAAGTCTCAACTAGTTCTCCTAGTTAGTAACAGGAAAGTACATTTATGGGTTGAATAAAAAATCATCCAAAAGGAGCTGAGCAGCAGAAAATATGGAAAAGAAATGTTTATTCTTCTCCAAAATGAGTTTGGACAGCATCGGACAAGATGAGGGTGATGACTCATTAGTAGGTTGGAGCCTACATCCTTTCAACAAGCTTTTATTCAGCGCTCGCTGTGTGCTCAATATCAATACCAGAGCCCACGCCTTCCAGAATTCCATGACTGAGGGGAGGGGACATTCAGGGCACGGCAATGCAAACTCCAGTGTGAAAGTGCTTGGACTGGGTCATGAAGAAAGCCTCCTGGAAGGAGGAGAGCCTGAGAGCCTCTCAGGCTAAGTCCTAGAGGCAGCGATGGGGCTGGCAGGACTGAAACGTTCTTTTACCTCTGCCCGTATGTTCATTATTTTCTCCCTGCAAACTTACTTTTCCTAAGCAGATAATAGACTGAAGTATTAAGACAGGAGATTTCAAGTTCAGAGTGATTTTTTTTAATTTTAGTAAAGTTAAAAACTGGAGGGGCTTCCCTGATGGCGCAGTGGTTGAGAGTCCGCCTGCCGATGCAGGGGACACAGGTTTGTGCCCCGGTCCGGGAAGATCGCACATGCCGCGGAGTGGCTGGGCCCGTGAGCCATGGCCGCTGAGCCTGTGCGTCAGGAGGCTGTGCTCCGCAACGGGAGAGGCCCGCGTACCGCAAAAAAAACAAACAAACAAACTGGAATCTCTGCATTAAATACAGAACCTCAGAAATGCGAGTCTTCGACAAGTTTCTAAAAGCAGTTACTGAGTAGCTTTCAGGGGAAAAAGGAGAAATTTGTGATCTTTTCTTTTTCAGCCGGGTCAGATTTTAGCTGAGAATGCTAGAAACACATGCCTGAATTCAGCTTTTCACTTTTAAATTCCATTTGCCCTTTGTTCTGCTGTCTGGGGTAGGTTTGCTTGGCTCTGCAATTATTCCCAGAGTAACAAGTGAGAAGACGTTTATTTTAGGGGCAAATAAAAGTTGCTGGGCTCTCCAGTTGCCCAGGAACCTCCTTGGCTGCTAAGAGGTGGCTGTCACACAGGGTGGCAGCTACAGGTAAGAGGAGAAGGGTGTGTAGAACTGGTTGGCCTTGGAGGCTGGGCTGGAATTGGACTCTCGAAGAGAGCACTCTGCACGTCTCCCGGCCTGCCAATATTTTTCCAGAATAGTCCCAGCCAAGTGCCTTGACTAGTCTGAACTTACCTAACATTGCAATCCCAGCAGGTCTATTAGGTATGGGTCACAGTTAAATGGAGAGGAAAATTGGGGGGTTCTGGATTTCTTACTTTTCTGTGAAAGCAGAGGCTGCTCTTAATTGCTTCACAAAGCATCTCCCCCGCCAGCCCCCGACTTGGCTCTCTGCTTTTCTGCCTGATGACTGTCGTCCCACAGAGGTGTCACGGTACCTTGTCCTTTTTTACGTACTTGCGCCCGCGTGAGGGATTTCATCATGCAGTCAGTCAGCACAGTACCCACTTTTGCAAGTGAGACCACATAAAGTGACGGAAATTCACGGCTGTTTACTTGTGTCGTTATGAACGGATGTCTTGTAGTGAACAAGTTACATAAAAATCTGCTGTGTTATAGCCAAGGGTTAGAATCTAATGTCTCTTGCAATGCACAGGCCTTCCAAGCAATCACCTGCAGCCCTTTGTGGACAGCGCTGGTGGTCTGGCCATCGTGAAGGCCGTGTCGGCTCCAGGTGAAAGCCCCGCGGTCAGGTGCCTGTCGTTCTGTAGCCTTCTGTTGCAGAGATGGAGGCTGGGTCGTCAGGCCCAGCTTTCGCCTGCCTGGATGGTGGCAGCTTGCCAGCGCGTTTCACTGGGTGGTCTTCAACAATGGGAGGGGTGGGGAGCTCAGCTCTCCTCACCAAAGGGGAACAAGAAGGTTGGCAACCAACCCCGTCACTGAAACACCACAAAGTTCCCGAGTGTGCCTGAAAAGGACAGAACAGGTTGCTGAAAGCAGTATTGTGATGGAGTTCATTTTTGTTCCCCTGATTTTACAAACCAAGCCTTACAGTGTATGTGGTGATTCTCCCTCAAGAGGGTGAGCACACATGAGCAGCAGGTGCCCTCCGTCACGGACATTCCCGTGCCCTTCATTCCCTTACCCTCTCAGGGAATCAGCTGTGGACCTGAAGGGCAGGCTGAGAAGGCCGAGACCGGCAGATCCCAGTGCCAAAGAGGCAGCCGCACCTGCCTCCGTCGTCCTTCTGATGACGGGGAGAACGAGAGCTGCCATTTAGCGAGACCTACTGTGTGCCGGGCCCTGCGCTAAGCCCTGTGAGCACTGTCCCTGCAACCCCCCAGCAGTCCTGTGAAGATGGGCAGCGTGATCCTATTCGGCAGATAAGAGAGCTGAAGCCTAAATAATTGTAGGGACTTGTTCTGGTCTCACAGCTGGTAAGTGGCAGCTTACCAAGATTTCATGGCAGGGCTGCTGACTCCAAAACTCAGGCTTTGAGAAAAAAAAAGTATCCAGACAATCTCTCCTCTCAGTCTAAGTAGAGCCCCCTTAGCTTGGGAGAACTGTTTCTTTTGCAACTAACAGAGTGCAAGGGGCAGGTGGCGGCCTTTATGAGACTTGCCTTAAGAGACATGAATTGAAAACTGGGGCCACAACCGGAAGGTTTTGAGTGGTTCCACAGCAGCAGCCTGAGGGAAGCTGGGTCCTGAGGCCCAGCTGATGTCTGACTTCGTAGGCAGTGCTGAAAGCTGCCTCTATCTTGGGTCTCCTCTTGGAACGTGTCTCCTGGCTTTTGCTCGCCCTGGGACATCATCTGAACTGGCTGTCTGAGTCTCTGCTCCCACTACAGGTGCCAGCTGAATCCACGTGCTCCTTGGCCTCTACAAGTCTGCTCAGGGTCCTCTGAGCCTCGGCAGGGTGAGGGGGGAGAAGGCGTTCTGCCCAGCAGGTACTTTTCCTGGTCAGGAGAAGTGGCAGCTTGCGCAGAAAAATACCCTGGGGAAGGAAGTAGCAACTTCGACAGACAGGTAACTGACAGGAGATGGTACCTTCCAGGCAAATACAGGGCAGCCAGCAGAAAGAATGCTACAGGCCGTTACCTGCAGAGCAAAACCGAGTCTCCCAGCTGGCTTCAGAGAGTGGGGAGATTTGGCTGCCATGAGCATGGAGTTGCCCTCAGTTCCTTGTTTTTCTTTAACAAATGTGGAAAGCCTGAAGCCAGGATGTTCTGGCTTTGCGTGTGTGTGTGGCGGGGTGGGTATAGGATACCTGGGTTTAAGATATAATTATGTGACCAACTAGTTGGGTAACCCAGAGGAAATCATGGAAACTCTCTGAGCCTCTCTTTCCCCATCCTCGCAAGCTGCCTTTTCAGGGCACTATGTGGATGCAGAGAAATGGCACAAGGGAACACTTTTGATGCAGAAGGTTCCTGCCCACCTCAAAAGCCTCTGGCATCTGTGCTCACCCAAGATGAGTTGGGTCACCCAAGATGAGTTGGGAGATAAGACATTTGAGGGAACTGGCCAGAGGTCAGAGTCTAGGCACAAGAGCTGCATCTGCTTCTGTGGTTGTGTTTGTATTCTAAGAGCAGAGGCCTGAACTGAAGGCAGTTAGGTCCTATTGCCAGATAAGCTGCTTTTCCCTCTCTTGTGGGAAGAGACAGTGAAGGCCTCAGGGTCTGGCAGGACTTGAGAGAAGAAAAGCTCTCGTGGCAAGAGGATCCTGGTTCGCACTCTTCCTGAGAGAGGAAGGAACAGAGGAGTCTGAGGAGAGTTGGGGTGACCCCATCTGAGAGAGCAGAGGTTTGGAGTGAATCTTATTAGAAAAAGGGGAAAGTGCTAGAGAAAGACGGTTGTTGCAGGAGGGAGCCATGTCTCTGGGGCCACTTCCAGGTTGGAGATGGTGTGGCATCCTGGTTAAGGGCGGGCTTTGGAACCAGACAGGCCTGGATTTGAACGTAACTTTGCCAGGTGGTAGGCGTATGACCCTGGGCTAGTCACCTCCACTCTGAAACCCTAGTTTCTTAAAGTTGTTGCAAAGAGAAGGCAAGATACTGCATATAAAGCGCACAAAATGCATTGTGAACATTCAGGAGAAGGTGGCCGTTAATAGGAAAGGAAAGGAAGGAAAAACAGACTGGAAGGAGAGTTATCGGCGGATTGCGCAGCTGGAAAGAGGAGTAGGTGGAAGGCTGCACTGATGGAAGCCCCCACTGGCTCAAGGCTCTACGGAGATGAGGGAATGAGAAGATGGGGAAAGAGCGGAGCCCACAGTGGGGCAAGGTTGTGCCCCAGGTGCCCCCATAGGTACCAATCTTTAGGCCCGGTCACTGGGAAGACAGC